AGTGCATACTTTTTGAAGACATTGAACATGATAATGGAATTTTAGTAGTACACCATACTGTTGCAAGAATATAGGGACTGCAATAGCTATATATCACAGGCAATTCTCAAATCTAACCCGATCAAAATGTCAAACCGTACGTTAAATAACAATCAACTAAACATAAAAAAGCAGTTCGATCTTGCACATGCAAGATGGATGAAACACAAAATGACAAGGTAATATGTAATTTTCCACTTTTGACAACGATAGATCTGCAAAATCATGGGGTATGCTGCCATCGTCTATGCCTGCAACAATTATAAACAGAATATTGGAATCAGGCAAGACGTCAACAAATACCAGCTTGAACTAGAGCTATCAGAAAATCTCTACCTTGTTAGCAATGTTGTTAGACAGCCAGTCCAGCCCCTCATAAAGCCCTTCCCCAGAGGTGGCACATGTGCTCTGGATGTACCTGAGAATCACAGGAAACCAGTTCGTCAGCATTAACTAAAATGAAAGAAATTAATTCTCACACACCCCAACAAACTAAAAATGCAATTCAAACCCACAAACACCTTCACAAACACATAAAAGATAGAGATTTACCAGTGACGTTGACGGAGGGAATGAAGACCAAGCTTGTCGGTGATCTCTGCAGCATTCATTGCGTTTGGAAGATCTTGCTTATTTGCAAAAACAAGGAGGACTGCATCCCTCAGTTCATCCTACACATGCATCAGTTCAAATCATAATCAGAAAGGTCAAGGCATGTAACTAAAAACATAAACATGTGACACTTAGGTATCCTAACAAAGCCGATTTAGATAGAAACAAAGGGCTCCATCAAGCATATTATTGTAGCAGCAACACAACAAGGAGATGCATATAGAAACAGCTCATCCATGTTCTAGAAATGTTTCTTACCTCTGTAATCAGAACAGAACACAACCTAATAGTAGTAAACCCAATCCAAAAGCAGTAAACGACACATGTTTCTTACCTCATTCAACATTCTGTGCAGCTCATCCCTAGCCTCAACAACACGGTCTCGGTCATTACTATCAACCACAAATATAAGCCCTTGGGTGTTTTGAAAATAATGTCTCCACAATGGTCGGATCTGAAATGAAAGCAGACAGAGTACAGAATTCATATGAAGAAATAATAAACTAGAATGCCATATAACCCTTAATATTCATAAACTGACAGCCAAATTCCCAAAAGACAAATAATGTCTTTCAACTCCCCAAAGAAAATTGGAATCCACTGGCACCAATTCTATAAAGCTGAATCTTTTATCAATCATCAGATAAATGCGATTGCAATAAGTGTGAGAACAATCACAATCTTAAAGGGAAAGATCATGCACATCAATCGTTTCTTGTAAAGTTAATAAACAACAAATCATCCAGTTTATGTCCTCATTTTCTACCTTGCAGAAGTTCTTAATTGATTATAAGCTCATCTAGATTTGAAAAGAAATATCTAATATCGGCAATATCATACCTTGTCCTGACCCCCAACATCCCAAACAGTAAAGCTGATGTTCTTGTACTCTACAGTTTCCACATTAAATCCTGGCAGAAAAAAAAGTTAAATGCCATGATTGGTAAATAATAAGGTAGAATTCTAGGCATTTGGATAGCATTTCTTCTCAGCACATCTCTAACAGGGAGAGAGAGTGTGTAGAGAGAAAGAGAGAGAGAGAGAGAGAGAGAGAGAGAGAGAGAGAGTGTGTGTGCGTGTGTGTGTGTGTGCGTGGGGTGTCTGTCTGAATCTATCTATGTGTGCTTGTGAGCGGATATGAAAGTTGTTGTGAGAATGAGGGGTGTTACCATTCTCAATAATCTGTGTTAGCATTTAGCCCGGGCTAAGCAACCCAAAATAAAATGATTTCTAAAACAACAAAAGGGTGCGACCACTAAAGGATATACATTTTCTAACAAGGAAAACATCTACCCAATAGGTTGGAAAAGTCAATAGAACCAATAGAACATACCAATGGTGGGAATGGTCGTAACGATTTCTCCGAGCTTGAGCTTGTACAATATGGTAGTCTTACCAGCAGCATCAAGACCCACCATCAGTATGCGCATCTCCTTCTTGGCAAATAGGCGGCTGAAAAGCTTGGTAAATGACAAACCCATCCTGTTTTCTTTTCAAACCTGAAACAGCCAGAAAGAAGAGTAAGATGCCTGTGCTCAACTTTCGATCACCATACCAATTCAGAAGCACCCAAACCAGAAACTGAGCTCAGAAGAGTAATATCAACCAGTGAATCACAAAATTAATTGAAGATTTTCTGTGAGTTCACATTTTACAAAACTTCACTGTTAAAATCACAATATTTCAAGCGAACTACTAAACTAATCCTAAAGCTTTCTGCTTTTAAGCTCTTTCTTTATGGGACAAAAGCTATTAAATAAACAGCGATCAATGATTACCATTTACAAAGTTCCTATGGTATGATCCAGAAACTAATAACAGCAACAACACCATCAGACATAACAAATCAAAAGGCAAAATAACACAGAAAAGGTTAAAGCTTTACAGTAGCAACCAAAATTCCTTAATTCTTTTGTCCTAAAAGATCCCAATTAACACGCAATAAAATTAAGGGGTACCGTTTCTAATCACGAAAAAGGTAATTCCAAGCCTTAACTCACAAAGCTCAGAAACTCGTATATGAGCCATTTCCAAAATCACACCGACTCATAAATTAAACAGATCGAAGACAATTATTTTCCATTTTCCCCAATTTTTTTCTCTTCTTTCTTTAACGCAGCACGGCACAGATGAAATCAAGACATGGGATCAAATCAAGAAACTTTTTCTTTCATCTTTATCTTTCTTCTAAATCAAGACATGGGATCAAATCAAAATTCAACAACGAAGAAATAAAATAATGAAATCAAAGAACTAAGATCTAAAGCAAGAGATCAGATCTAATTAAAGTCAGATCTACAACTACATGAGATGACACATAACACGATTAACACATAAAAGTAGTAGAAAGATCACGCAGATGCACGAACACAGGAAATGAATAAGAGAAAGATTGATGAATAGCTAAAGATCTTACAATTGAGTAGAAAGATGTGGAGCGAGAGAGACTCTAGAGAGAGCAGAGGCCAATGTTTTGAGCGATGGGGGAGGGGCAGATCTTGAGAGGGTCTGCCCTTGACGAGGAGAAAAGCAGAGAAGAGAAAGCCCAAATATCGCGTTGGTTACCGGCCGAATGTGAATCCCCCTGCATTTTTATATGCATTTGAAACGTGTTGCCTAAATGATTATTTTACTGTTTTTCAAATTATTACGATATTAAACAAATGGGAGAAATTTACTACGACTAGTAACTATTTTTGCCCACAAAGCTAATGTAATAACTGGTGATTTGCCAATATTTTGACCCAAAAAAAAAAAACTAGTGATTTGCCAATAATACATATCCGTTTGGATTGCATTTTTCTGAATTTTTTATAGAAAAATTACTATAGCGATTTGATATATGTGAGATAAAAAGGTGATAGGGAAATATATTTATGAAAAATATAGTAATTTTTCTGAGAAAAATCGCAGTCCAAACGGGAATGTACGTGTGTCTGTATATTAGTTGAGATAACATTGAGGTTTCTAGTTGACTCTTTGATTTCACATAGATTCTGACTTAAAATATTCAACTTAAAACACTCTTTAATAGGTATGTTTGTTTTTTTTAACACAGTTTAAGAAAAATAATTTAATTATGTTGAACAAACAAATCTACCTTGCTATCTTTTTAAAATACTTTTGTATTAAATAGAGTATGACTAAGTAGTTTTACATTAAATAAGCTAGGTTATACTCAATGATAACCTACATTAAATAACAGTATTTTAAAGAACTTATAAGTCAATTACATTCTTCAATTAAAAAATAGACTATAATTTGAAATAGATGGAAAAGAAAAAGTAAGGACGAAGGGAATATGCGTTTGCCTTAATTGAAAATTTTAGATCACAAATGTCTAATCCAATTCATGTAAAAGGTTTCCTCTTTAAGGAAAAAATGAATTTTATTTTATTCTTTGGTGAAACCGGAAATCTTGTAGGGTTTTTTTTTTTTTCTGGTAAACACAAACCTCGCAGTTGAAATTTCAAGTGTTATTTTTGAAACCTAGAAGAGTGTCGGGTGACATTTTAACATTACTATAATTATATTTATTTGTAACTAAATTCCTATTGCTACTATTTAAATATTCACACTTCTATTTTGATAGAGGTGGTGAATAAATTTTCATGTGGGTATGATCCAGTAGTATTATTGCTATCTTGTTGGATTTCGACGCATTCCCATACAAAGATTTTTTTTTTAAAAAAAAAAAAGAGGAAAATTTAAACTCAAAATAACATGGAGCGTTTCCCTAAAATAAAACAGTAGTAGTACATTTTAGGCAGAGATCGAAACGTGGCTGTCTTGGTGTCTTGCTCCTTAACTAAGGAACTTGTGGGATCTATAGGCAAGGTACTTGTTAACCATTCCATCTGAAAATATGACCAAAGGTCGTTCATGGTTTATCAATTGGGCCTTTTATGTTTTTAATTAACTGATGGCTGATATGTCACATCTGGCTAGCTCTAAGTAACGTCATGATCACTTTCTAAAAGTTTGAACACCATTTTTGACTGGTGACCTCTGTGGAACTATATAGTAGTGTATTTTTTTATCACATATTTGTGCGGCCATTTTGGTGACTTGAGAAATTTTACGTTTCGAACTGTTTTGTTGGTCGAAGCATCTGATTCTTTTGGTAATGAACATTCAAGAGATCCGAGACACTTCTGAACGTATTTGGATAGTAAATTATTTGAGATAATTTTGTAAAAAAATACTATAACACTTTTTTAATATGATGCATATGAGATAAAAAAGTGATCGAAAAATATGCTGATGATGCAAGCAAGTCAGTATGTAAATAAGGTAAAAAGAATAATGTGTAATCCAAACACAACCACTACTATTATAGTATACAAAGGGGCGGGGCGGGGGCGGGGGCGGGGCGCGGGCGCGCAGGGGAGAGGGAAGGGGAAGATGAGAGGGTGTATGTAACCTGAGTCTAACTCGCATTTAAACTCATAAAAAGCATCATCAGAAGCAGTGGAATTAGGAATCAGCTATGCCTGCAATGGTACAGAGAAACATAGGAGAGATGTCTACAGAAGGAATTAGCTTCAAATGAGAGCAATCAGAGATTCTCTACCTTGTTAACTATGTTGTTGTAGAGCCAGTCCAATCCCTCATAAAGCCCTTCTCCAGAGGTGGCACATGAGCTTTGGATAAACCTGATAAAGGCAAGAAATCAGTTTTGAGCAATATGTACTCAAGTGTAAGATACCAGTTGCTACACAGACATCTTTGCACACAGGGGAGAAAGATTACCAGTTACGCGGACGAATGGAGTGAAGGCCAAGCTTGTCTGCAATCTCTGCAGCAGTCAATGCATTTGGAAGATCTTTCTTGTTTGCAAACACAAGTAGGGCTGCATCCTCCTTCAGTCCTTCCTGTATATGGCATCAGTTAGAATCCTTTTTTTTTCTTTTTTACAAGGATCAGCATTTGCTTCAACTATAGTCATGTTACCCATCTTCTTTCCTTGGAAACTGATTTTGATATATAAATGCATCTAAATCAAAAATCTAACTTTCATGGTAAGTGACGCGGAAATGAGCAGTTGAAAGCAAGAATTACAGAAAGCTCATCCATATGTTATACAATTGTTGCTGACTTCTTTCGTAAAAGCAAATGCAACTGGATTTTAGCATGGTTGTTTCAATCTGGTTACATCGATACATCAGAATCAGTACCTCGTTCAACAGCATTCGCAGATCATCCCGAGCATTAACTACACGATCTTGGTCATTGCTATCAACAACAAAGATCACTCCTTCAACGTTTTGGTAGTAATATATTGGCAATGGTCGTTTCTGCAAATAAGAATAGTCATGGAGGTCACTGTATGTGGTGTCACTTCACAATAGTCAATTCTCAATTTTCATAAAACGCAAGATTTAGGAAAATAACTAATTCAAAAAACACAGAGAGCTAAAAAAAAAAAACCCTATCTCGATCTGGAAAAGAAGTGTTGAATGACACCGTCAAGGCAAAATCGGCGAGAGATGGAAATATAGCACAGATTATTTCTACAACCATAGACCAGAACCTCTATTGAACTTAACCCCGGGACAAATGAAAAGCAAGAAGAAAAAGGAAATACGGACAGAGAAATTTTCAGTTATCATGGAATTCATTTACAAGAAATCAGGCAGTTCAGGCCTCATTCATCTGCTTTCCACAAGTTTTCATCAGGAGATCATCAATACTTAATTGAAGCAAATGGGGAATATGATGCAATTTCTCGCAAAACCATATCACCTACAACGTTTTGACCACCGAAGTCCCATATAGTAAGCCTCATGTTCTTGTGCTCCAGGGTCTCCACATTAAATCCTGGTATTTTTTTGGAAAAAAAAAAAAGAAAAGAAGAAATCACTATCAGAATTCAACAAAATGTTGGGATGACTCCACATATGCAACCAATAGGCTATGCTAATCAAACAGATCACAAGGAACAGAGCTGAATAGAACATATCAGTGGCCTGATAATCAAGTTAGTATGAATAGTTTCTGTTCATCTGTAGATCTGTATGGTAGATATATACAGGAAAAAAAAAATAAACTACCATAAGAAAAGATCTTTGAGTCAGCAAGTAGCAGCATTGGGTAATCAAATAAGTCCACTGAGCCTGATAGCATTGATTTACACTCTAGAACGACAAATAGTTGCTTAAAAAGACGCAACATTTTGACAAGAATGAACATATCTTCTTCCTGGATTAAACTAGTCAACAAATTAACAGTATACCAATTGTGGGGATGTCATCGACAACTATTCCCTGCTTGAGCTTGTACAAAATAGTAGTTTTTCCTGCTGCATCTAGGCCCAACATCAGTATGCGATTCTCCTTAGTTTCGAAAAGCTTGGTAAATGACAGTCCCATATTGTCTCCTTGCTTGACTGCAGCAGCCACAAACAAATACAAGCCAAATCAGGATAAGTTATCCAGAAACTGAAAGATTTCAAAATCATCCGAGTGAGCTGACATTAACCTGCAGGCTGTAATGCTCAGACTTCATGAAAAAAATTCAGTGAGCTTACAATCAAAAGGATTTGAATATAAGATCCCAGTGGAGCTAGAATAAAAACTTAAAAAGCTTTTTCAGACACCTCATGAAACTTTAGCCCAAAAATCCCAATTTTGTGGCTTCGGTTTACAAGGATTATTACGAATTCCAGTTACACTATTTCTTCATGCTAAACCTAGTGTTGTTTAGCATTTGATGAAGTGAAAATCACCACAAATAGGAGAAATTTGATCCAGAAACTTTTACCAGCAATGACAAGAAGCAACAAATTGAATTAGAAGGAAAAATCTAACACCATGAGACAGAAGCCTTGAAATCCCATTAAACCAATAATATTGCTACTAGTTTAGACTGATTTCAATTTGAACAAGTCACTCTGCAAGCCCTTCAACCACAATTTACAGTTTAATTTACATGCATAATGATTCAACTAAATCACAAAGAAAAATGCAATAAAGCCAGTTAAAAGAAACAAATAGATGGATACATAGTCGAAGATATTTGGAAAGCATGGTCTTACTGGAGCAGAAAAAATGGACGGAATGAGGAAATGGCAATGAGAGAGGGGCCAGGGATCTTGTGAGACTCTGCACCCCGGGAAAGAAACCCAATCTTGCACCTCTCCAACTTCCACCATTGCTGATTCTTAAGAAGATGAACAACATTTTTTTTTAAATAAAGCGTGTTGACTTCAGTTTATTCTACTTGGGATTCTTGTGATAGTATATTGCTCGCACAAGAGAGAGAAAGATGAGAGATGGAAGCCTTCATTTTGGCGGATGGCGTGATCTAAAGAGCATTTTGTTTCACGCCTTTGAAACCAGGTAGCAGTTATATATTACTCGGTTTTGCCATAAGATGCCCGTCTAGACCTCCTTCGTGCACCTATTCCATTTATTTTCTGTCTTCTCATTGGACACATTCCATATTTCTTTTCAAGTTTTCAAACAATTCACGTGTAGACATCTTTTGGACGAATACTCGATGGGCACCCGTTAAACAAATTGTGAATATAAACATAAACAAAAGGTAGAAGGCGAAAATTTTGAAAAGAAGACCAAAATTAGGTCATTGGCATGAAATAAATTGAGTGTGTCAAAATAACTTGCGGATGGTAAATTTCCTAGACAAATTAATTTTTGGGTAGAAGAAGGTTTAGACTCGGGGAATGTTTCCCCGTTACGAATAGAAACAAGTTCTACTCGTCCAAAAATATGTTAGAAAATATTTTCAATGCTTAGAAAAGTTTGTCAAAACTTGAAAAAGTTGTAAAATATTAACTGTTTCTTTTCTTCAATTCTTGGGAGAAGGGCAGAAATAATAATCTAAGTCGTTTATAGTTCAACACTTGACACATTTGATCAACTAAATCCCAATAAAATTCTTATTTTGTTAAAAAAAAAAACTTTGCATGATTATGTTTGAAATGAATAAGATCATTTGTGTCGTCCCAACTCCTACATGTTCTCAATAATACGAATCTTATGAGCTGGTGGTCGCATGCTATTTCAAGATCCAATAATGGGTCGTTGGGTCCAATGAATAGAATTAAAATCAAATCACTCAAAATTCAAGACTTAGTGTTTTAAAGCATCAATTTGATTCGATTTGTTTCGATTTGATGTTAGTATGATTCAGGGATTGTGCGTGTGGGACTTGGGAGATGTGCACAAGGATTGAGCTCGAAGAAAAAAGCGGAAAAAATGAAGCTGACGCGGATCCACGAACGGATCCATGAGGGACAGGTCCACGGGTCGTTCCTTTAGTTCTCTTTTTTTTTTCCCAAAACGAAACAGATTCTAGCTGAAAATGACGAAGGTAAGTAAAACGAATGGGGTTAGGGGTGCTAGCAAGTCAAGCTGCTCGCGAGCTACGGTGCTAGCAAGTCAAGCTACTCGCGAGTAGCTCGCGAGCAGTTTGATCAAAAGCTTGACTCGAGCTCGGTAAAATCGAGCTCGAACTCTACTCGTTAAATTTAACGAGTCAAGTTTGAGCTCAAGAAATAAATATTCGAGTGCTCGTCGAGCTTAATCGAGCTTTCATATTTTATTTATATTATATATTTATATTATATATTTTTAAAAAAATTATAGATTTATTTCAAAACTCGAGCTCGAGCTCGAGTAGCTCGGGCTTGATATTTTACTCGAGCTCAAACGAGTCGAGCTCGAGTTTAGTTTTATTTCATCGAGTCGAGCTCGAGTCTAAATTTTTTTACTCGATCGAGCTCGAGCTCGAACTCGAGTAGCACAAATTTTGATCGAACTCGAGCTCGAGTATGGTGCTACTCGAACTCGACTCGGCTCGATAGCACCTCTAAATGGGGTTCAACCGTTCAAGTGGCCTTTTGCTTTTTATCATTTTCTACATGAAAAATGTAAGACACGTATCAACATATTATTGGTATCTGTACTGAAGAGTTGACATTCAGCTCGTGACTATATATTATTGATTTATTTTAATCAAATGGCAACATCCCCCAAGCGGAGAGCTCGGTCGCATGTGGTAATATCTTGTAGGTCACCAATTCAAATCCCGCTCAGACATCGCGCTTGCATTTTTGGACAAGGCTTTGTAAATTAGGAGGTGAATTAGTCTGGCTAAATTCAGATACTGACATCGCGCTTGCATTTTTGGACAAGGCTCTGTAAGTTAGAAGGTGGATTAGTCTGGTTAAGTTCAGATACCACCTTCTACTGAGGAAGGAAAAAAAAAGCATATAAAGCTCACTTCACTCGCATTGTTTTGATCACCAGTGTCCCAGACACCAGGGGCGGAGCCAGAAAAAAATCTTAGTGGGGGCACAAATAATACTAAAATTTTTTATCTACTCTTTTTTTAATTTTTTGAGCAAAAAATAAATAAATTCACTAACAAGTACAATTGATATGTATATTCCATGAAAAAACATAAAAAGACAAACTCAAAATTATTAATGTAATAATAATTTTATTTAAAAACTTCTTTTATTGTCATTTTTTGCACCTTCATTATCCTTGGCTTCTTCTTTATTAGATGGCTCTTTTTCCATTGATTTCCTCTTGAAATATCTCTCCATAGCTAAAGAAATTAAAATCAATATATAAGATACTAATCCAATTAAAATATTAAATGTACAATAAAATCTAATAATCTATCCAAGAACTATTTTACAAGTTAAAGTTATTTATTAAATCATTAATCACAACATATCATTACTATATCAAATCACAACTTATTCATTCATTACTATATCAAATCATTAATCAGAATATATGAACCTAATCAAGTTAATTAGACAAAAGGATCCATATAAGAATAATTTAAAAGTTAAAATATATGTCAAATGGCCCTCTATTCATCATTACATTAACTCCAAATAAGAAACTAATCATGGAAAATAAAAAATAAATTATAAATCTATAAGATCACCATTTCACAAGTTAAAATATTTATCAAATATCAAATAACCCATTTATTAGTTATTACATTAACTAATCAATTTTCAAATTTCTCTAAAACAGTAATAATCCCATACTCTAGAAATATATTTGCAAACAAATTTAAAATAATAATAATAAGAAGTAATTGTTTAAAACCTAATTTCAATGGTTTCCCAAAATTGGTGAAAAGAGTTGCAAATCAGTGGCACTGTGGCAGACTTAGGTCCCTTTACTTCCTTTGTGCCCCGTATCACGTTATTTAATTGGAAAGAAGTCAGCTTCAAGGATTGGTTTCTTGCGATTGAACTGAAGAAAGCAGGTCTTGGTTTTCAAAAAGCCTACTCCTTTAATGGAACACTGTTTGAAGTAGTCAACAACACCAGAGACCATTTTCAGTGGGGACAACCAAGAGGCAAAAGAGGAAAAGAAAATTGGGAAATGGGGACAAAGGAAGTAAATGATTAATGATGATTGGATGAAGTAATAAAAAAAAAAGAGTAGTTAGTTGGGTGTGGAAGAAGAGGAGTCGTGGGTTGTGAAGTAAAATGGGGGACCACAGGAGTAAAGGGAACTTGGAGAGTGGGGACCAAAAGTAATGACTGATATAATTGATATTTGATCCTTAGAGGAGGAAAGTGAATGATATAAATTTTGTGACCCATTCTTTCATATTTTTTTAAAAAAATTCTGGGGGCACCAGTAAAATTGTATCAAAATTATAGGAGTATTATAGGAATTTAAGGAGGGCAGTGGGGGCCGTGCCCCCAGTGCCCCCACTGTAAATCCGCCCCTGCCAGACACTAAAGGTCACATACTTAGATTTAGATCAAGGGTCTGTCTAGTTGAAATTTTGTTCAGTTTTATCCAGTTGTATAATTCATACAATATTTGGTATAAACTATTACAACTTAGATGTAAATATAAATTTTGTCAACTCGTATGACTAATTCATAATTATACCATATTTGTATGTAAAACATTGTAAGAATCACAACAGTTGGACACAATCAATTGAAGAAGCTGCTGATCCCGTGGCTCCACTTTTCACATCTCTTCTTCAAACACTCCACTTTCCACATTAAATCATGGGACTAAAACAAGATACTTCAGTACCAAGATTCAGCCCAAAGAAAAGGAATAAGAAAATTTTGGTGACTAAGAAAATTTTACAATCCACCCTTTTGTTGGACGAAACATTTTTAATTCGTGCGGTAATACATCATCTTTTATGGTAGAAGAAACGGCAATATACACTGAACTGAAAGGTCATTCATTATATGGTAGGCAAAAAGGTTCAGGAATCATCTACGCCTGCAAAAAAATATATAGAAATAGTAGTCAGGAGAGATGTCTACACAAGAAGGTATCAGAGCTTCAAATTAGAGCAATCAGAGAATCTCTCTACCTTGTTAACTATGTTGTTCCAGATCCAGTCCAGCCCCTCATAAAGCCCTTCCCCAGAGATGGCACATGTGCTTTGGATAAAGCTGAGAAAGGCAAGAAATCAGTATTCAGTGCAGGAAATCAGCTCGTTCGTGCACATGTTTGCACTTACTTAGGAGACAGCAGAGTTGGAGAGAGAGATTACCAGTTACGGCGATGGAGGAGGGAGTGAAGACCAAGCTTGTCTGCAATTTCTGCAGCGGTCAATGCATTTGGAAGATCTTGCTTGTTTGCAAACACCAGGAGGAGTGCGTCCTTAAGTTCATCCTACACACATGCATCAGTTCAGATCATTTTTACAAGGATCAGCGCATGTCACTGATCTTCCCTGCATTTTGGAATCCTGGTAAACTGATTTCAACAGGAGGGGTGCACCCTCAATCAAGCATCTAATCACCATCATGACATGGAAATAAGCAAATCAAAGCAAGAACTACAAGGAGAGTTCATCCATGTTGCATGCATGTTTCTGACTTCTTCCATTAAAAAAAAAAAAACAAATGCAGCTTAATAAAAGTACGTTCATTTCAAAGCAATGGATTAGTATACCGGATCAATACCTGACTCAACAGCTTTTGCAGGTACTCCCGAGCATCAACAACACGATCTTGGTCATTGCTATCAACAACAAGGATCACTGCTTCAATGTTTTGGAAGTAATATCTTGGCAATGGTAGTCTCTGAAGATGAGAATCATCATGGGGCTTACTCTTTGTGGTGCCAATTCATAAAAGTAAAATGTGGAGAATACTCAATTTTCACGAAGCACAAACAGGGTTTATACAAATACCCCATCTCGATTTGAAAACTGAGGTGTTAAATTACACATCAAAGGCAAGGTATATCACTTACATTGTTCTGGCCTCCAATGTCCCAGAAAGTAAAGCTCATGTTCTTGTACTCCAGGGTCTCCAAATTATATCCTGGTATAAAGCAAAATACTTCACTCACTAGCAGTCAACCAGCATATATAGCAATTGAAATACAATGTAGAACAATAAACAGGAGGACTGTCAATGAATTAACAGAACATACCAATCGTAGCACCCGTAGCTACAACCTCCCCTCTCTTGAGCTTGTACAAGATAGTAGTTCTCCCAGCCATATCAAGGCCAACCATTAGTATGCCAATCTCCTTCCTTCCGGAAAGCTTGGTGAATGACAAACCCATAATGTTTCCTTGTTATGTCTGCAGCAACCAGAAACAAAAATAAGCCAAATCAGGATACAAAGATTTGGAAACCATTGCAGTGAGGTGATGACATTAACAGGAGCCACTGAGACTCCTTCATGAAAGAACTCAGCGAGTTTACATCAAAATAACTCGAGTCTAAAATCCGAAAATTAAGGCTTCAGTTTCGAGGGTTTATTGACGGGAATCAGGGATACGAGCATGGTTTAAAGTCACGGTGGCGGTCGCGGGCGCGGCCCGGAACATTCCACATCGGTCTCGGCATATCGGTCGCGGTCTCGGTGAGATGCAAATTTTAAAGTAGGCTAAATAAAAATAATTAAAAAATAGCAAAAGAAATGGCCAAGTCAATCCGTCGCGATGTGACTCGGTTGATTTCTCGTCTTGACTCGGGATAACTCGGAGTAACTCGGTGTGACTCGGCCGAGTCAATCCGTCGTGGTGACGACTCGGCCGATTTCTCGGCGAGTCAAGTATTTCGGTATCGTTTCGTCACGGTATCGTATCGGTATGGGCCGAGACGGTGACGACTCTGCCGAGACTTCGAACCATGGATACGAGTCCTCCTGTTACATATTACAATTACGCTAATTCTTCGCAGTAGATCCTGTGTAATAGCTTTGATCAGGCAAAAAGATGATTTTTAGATTAAAACACATGATTCTGAAACTGTTAACAACAATGACACTGCTGTCAGACAAGTTAGATTCAAAGGAAGAGAAATCTAGCACCTTCAAGAGGAAGCCTTTAAAGCCCACTTAACCAACAACACTAATTCTGCTTGATTTCACTTTCACCAAGTCAATACCAAGCCCTTGAACCAAAGCTCTCAATATCTGCAATTCTCATGGAATAATATAAATAATTCACAAGTAATTGGAGGAAATAAATTCACTCCAAGTAAATGTATCAATCTCTCAATTGGAGGAAAAAGGTTGGCAGCGGAAACGATAAAAGGAGGCAATCAAATGATTTTATCACTCAAAGTCTGTGCATCCTATTGTTTCTTTGCAACATCAGTACTGGTAGCATATATATATATATATACACATGGATATGGGGATGATTAAGGGGGTTTCACAATCAATTGACTTAGCTTTCTTAGCTACAAGGAGAACACCAAGGTCAAAGTCAAACCCACTAGCATGCAACCTCAATCTAGCCAATCAAATCATTTGCTCAGCCAATAATCATCACTAAATAAACTAGCTAGTTAGTTCTCACAACCCAAGAAAACTTGATGCCAACAAAACCTACCAATCAATTTTGGACACCTAACACACCCACACACACACACAACTTGGTTTAATCTACAGCAAATTCAAGTTAGTAGTCCACACGCATTAAGGAAATTGTTACTAATTTTCTGACATCTTAGATAACATTTGCTCCTATGTCAAAGGATGCAATTACAAGACCATATACAACTTTCTTTCAATAGAGGGGCATAGGCCATTTCATTGCATGATCTGTGTCCTCATGGCCTAAATCTTTTTGTTGGCAAATTTTTCTCAAGGCTATGAACTGCGTTATCTTCCAAATTGACAGAATTCACATTCTAGTTCTCATCCCCAGTGCCATTATTATGTCCTTTGCTTCTAAATCAATTAGCTGCATCTTTTTGAAAAAGTATTATTATGCTTTCTCCATCTTGTGTTTGTCTCCTCAATGAAATTCTATCTGATGAGACGTTGTGTTCTCAATGAAATTCCTTCTCAGGGGTTGGGACAAAATCTTTGATCCCAAAAGTGCAAAGTCAAAAAAGCTTTTTACGGCAATTACAATAACTCTTCATACTAAACCTATTGTTATAGCTTCTTGAGTGTTGACAATATTCTAATTTAATCAAATCAAATCACATTTTATGTGGCTATATATACCAAAGCCGTTACTACCCATGATGAATTTCCTGATACATTCTACGCAAAAGCTGCAGCTTGTTGAAAAGCCTCTAATCTGATTGATCACATCGCTACCCATTTATGATGGTGCTGTCAAAGTTACTGAAAGGATACATACAAGCATCAATGAATAAATTAGAACAAAGTTTTCATCAGCAATATGATACATGTGATTGCTGAATTAAACATCAATAAAGTAGAAACTAACTATTGCTGGCAGGCACGTTGATGTGGTTAACAATAGCCAGATCATTTTGAAGACAAAATAAAGATAAAAAAGTGAAATACTTATACTAAATATGTAACAACTCTTTTGATGCTTATTGAGAAATATTTTTATAAATTAATAGATGTACACTCATTTTAGATTTCATATGACGATTTAGGATAACTAAACTTTGTTATAAGGAAATGAAAGCAAATATATTTCTCATAAAAAAGATAACTAGCGCACAAATGTAAATAGAGATCTAAATTAGAAAAGCAAAAGAAAATGGAAAAGAGTCATGAGAAAAATTTTCTATGATAAGGGCATAATTGTCTTTTCATACTCATAAACATTCGGCTCTTCGTCATTAGGCTTAGGGGGCGATTTACAGGCTTTGTGAGTGATGTGCCATTGACTGCTAATTATAGGGAAGCGATATGTAATTATTGTTAAATGCTGAAACCCCCCCCCCCCCCCCCCCCATGAACTATATACTTTGTTGCAATTTATCTTCCAAACTATTTTTATAAAGCCCTTTGCCTCCTTTCGTGATATAGTTGGACAAATCTACCCCTTTTATCTTAAGCATTGTTATTTTTCTTTTTTCCATATCATTTTCTTTTAAAATTTTTCATCTTTATTTTCTTTAAGCATTATTTAGATCAATATACTAGATCAGTCAAAACTTCCTTATTTCTTAATTCGCATCTCAATATTTTATAAAAGAATTCTATGGTATACAAGATTTTTTTTTTTTTTTCAAATGTTGAAGTCAATGTCATTTAAGAAATTGAATATTTAGATACATAAGAACAAAAGAGATATTAATTAATCAATTATTACTAGTATCAATAACAAATAAAAATGAACTATTATTGTTGTTTCTTCTTATCTTTTTGTTTCACTACACATAACAATTGTGAACTTTTCTTTCTTACGTGATATATAATATGTTATTTTCGTTATAAATAGTTGAGTAATTGTGAACTCTAATTAGTTTATAGGTACTTAAATTGTTGAATTACTAGATAAACACAGTTTACACTGTAAGCTATATATTTTTTCTAATAAAAAAGAGTTTATTATGAATTATTAAGAATGAATTTAACAAATAAACAAATTAAAAAATAGTTTAAAAATATTAAAAAATTTTTATGCAAATATTGGCTAGTTCCATGAGAGAAAGGGAAAAAAGAAGAAAAGAAAAGGAAAAAGAAAAGGGAGAAAAGGAAAAAAATGAAAAAAAAAAAAGAATAGAGTAAAAAGAAAAAAATTAATATAGTAGGGGTAGTGTTGTCCAAATATATTATTCGAGGGGGTAAAATGCCTATTATTATAGTTCATGGAATAAACTGCAATTGGATATATAGTTTGTGGTGTGTGTGTATTTATTTATTTATTGTCCAAACATATAATTCGGGGAGGTAAAATGTCTATTATTATAGTTCATGGAGTAAATTGCAATTGGATATATAGTTTGTGGTGTGTATTTATTTATTGTCCAAACATATCATTCGAGGAGGTAAAATGTCTATTATTATAGTTTACGGGTAAACTGTAATTGGGTATATAGTTCATGGTGTGTGTGTATATATATATTTATTTATTTATTGTGCTTTGAAGGGCTATCAGTCCATTGGATGCGAAAAATCTTCGGATTGCAACCTAGATCAGGTCTGGTGCCAGAACTTATTCCAGTAGCTACGGGGATTTGTCTAAGATCTTCAATTTATGGAATTGACTTCGACTCTGCTTTGGTAACCAGTCTGCACCATAGTTCTCTTCCATCCATCTATGGACAACGCTACATTCGGAGTCCATGGTGATGCTCTTGAATGTTTTTTCGTGATTCAAAGCTGTTATCATATTTATCCTACTGTCTCCGCAATTCTTTTCAGTTTGTACGGTGTAACACAAACTAGAATATAGTGGAAGATAATTAATCATGGAATCTCTTTTATGTCCCACTGGATTGATCTTTGAAAGCTTTTTAGTAACCAAAAAATATTTTTTGTTTTCTCTCGGCTCGAAATAATTCAATTGATTGAATTCGAGTTGAGTTGGAGCTCGAATCAAGTCAATTACGCCCAATGTACAAGTGATCAAAATGATCCAATAAAACGTCCGATTTCATTCAATTTGATCCCTTTTTCTTTTCTTCTTTTTTTTGATTTTTGTATGCATCCTTGTATTCCTAGTGTGGATGGATCCCAAAGGCAAACGGGCAATTTTTATTCTACAAGTTTTTGTAAAGAAGCTGGCAAACACTTGGCCCGATAATAGGGATTAACTGAAAGTGCCTTTATTCAAGAAAGACAAATTAAAGCTAGCGTTCCATGCATTGCATGAATCCCAAAGCCCAACAAGAAATCCTTTTCCGTTATTCACCAATTCTTTTTTTCCCAGTGGAAATAATTTCTTTCTAAGCTTTCTGTTTTTGTATGACCTTCTATAGTTGTCCTCTAGTACTACAAACTTTATATATATCCCATAATTTTCTTTCATCACGAAGAAGAAGAAGAAGAAAGCAAGTTCCTTTCTTTTTTTCCTCTTCTTCGGTAAAGTAATTCTTGATTTTTTTTTTTCTTTCACCTCTTCCTTATTTCGTTTGGCCTCCATTATTCATCCAAGAAGTTGAGAATTGGAGAAAGAAGAAAATGGCTGGTGGTTTCTTGCCTTTCCTGACGATGGTTATTCTTCAGCTAGGCTATGCTGGAATGAACATTGTATCAAAACTTGCCATGGATTCAGGCATGAACCCTTTTGTTCATGTTGCTTACAGGCAACTCTTTGCTACCTTATCCATCGCCCCATTTGCTTATTTCTTGGAGAGGTACGTTGCTAGTAGCTGCGGATTTAAGTTGATTTTGCATGTAGAATCAACATTTGATAATCCAGGCAGGAGTTT